TTCAAATAGAGAAAGATGTGAAAAGGAATATAGGAAGACACGAGATCTCTTAAAAGATTTCCCAAACCTCAAAGTGGGAGGTTTATTGCAGGACCCAACTCAGAATAGAGACGAGGTAACTGAAACCTCATAATGGACAGTGGTGGTATTCCCAAGAGGTCGAGGACGCTCGAAGAAAGTAATACGCCCGGATTCGACCTTCAACAAACCTCCACCTGAGGGAGATTGGGCACGCCATCCATGCTGTGGCATGATCTGTGTGGTATGAAGTGCACCTCTAAGGAAGCCATCCAACAAGGAGCATATTGGTCAGGCTCCTCAGTACTGAAGAACAGAATAAATCTGGATATGAATATAGACTCTAATAGACAATTACCTGAGTTGAGTTATTTTGATCCCCTGAAACCAAGTCTAACAAAACTGTTAATGTTTTGAAAGAGTCGTTGTGGTATTTTCCCACCAAATATGTGGAACTGTCAAATTTTTATGAAGAACCCAATCACACAGGTGTAATGAGTAACACTCTGCTACTTTCAAAACTTAGTTTTAAGGGATATTTCAAAACATTTTAAGAAGCATTTTGACATAAACTATTCAGGTTTTATGCTTTAAAAAAAATCAGTCCCAAGTGGCACGGAAAGCATTCTCCAATTTTGTCTTCTTTATTTTTATACATATTTATTTATTTATTTATTTATTTATATATATTTATTTAGTTTATACCCCGCCTATCTGGCCCACCGGAGTGTAGTATCAAAATTAGCCATTAACAGGAACCAGTGAGTATCTCCTTCTAGTTTTTTTAATCTGCTGGTAATGGCAAAACAATATCTTAAGAACATGAATTAAAAATGTGCAGCTGGAACCAGGATTAAAACAACTGGCTGTTGAGAAGTTCCAAACTCTGCTGCCAGTCTTCTCCACATCACACATAGTTTTATTTCTTTTTAAATTGGGGACAGATTGTATCTAACGAAACAGTCTGCGACCCAGAGCCGACGGCAGAGACTCATCCACCCAGAAGAACCTGACACCAAAACACAACAGGAACAATACAGTATATGCAGTCCAGTGCAAAGAAGAGTGTTTGGAGCTCTACACTGGAGAAACCAAACATCCACTAAACAAGAGAATGGCTCGTCATAAGAGGGGCAACAGTTCAGGACCACAACCAGCAGTGTTCCTTCATTTGACAGACAAAGGACACTCATTTGATGACCAAGATGTACCCATTTTAGACCGAGAACATAGGTGGTTTGAGAAAGGGGTCAGGGAGGCCATACATGTACATATAGAACATCCCTCACTCAACAGGGGTGGAGGCCTTAGATACAATCTGTCTCCTATTTATCATGCTGCCCTTTCATTCATTCCCAGGAATATAAGGACCACACACACCAGAAAGACGACTGTTAGCCACCCATGACAATGGGTGGAGAAGGATTGTAGAAGTGGGATTTTCACTCACCTCCCATCTCATTTGTCCATCTAGGGAACCTATTCAGACTGGGAAGAAGTGAAACCAACATGGAGAATATATCAGGGATCTCCTACCAACTCTCCTCAGACTGAAGAAGCTACTTGAATAAGTAGTAAAATGTTTCAATCTAACAAGAAAGAGGTCTTGTTGCCATGACTCAACTTCCAGATAACCTCACCTGGATGACTGTGAATCTTCACAGATGTAACATCACATATTTTAGTGTTATGAGTGACAGAGTGTGATAAGAGTGTGTGTGGCTCCCAGAAAGACCAGCACCCCAGACCTAAGAAGAAGATGGAGAAATTGCAAGGGAAGATGGGATAGTGTGCCTAATACAGAGCTTTAAAAGAAGATGCAAGTTGCAGGCAGAAACAGTTTCCCTATTAATAAGAGGTCGCTGTGTGGGCAAAAGTTTGGATTTTTGCAGTTGTGCCCAGACAAGAGGGAAGTGAACTGGAGCAAGAAGTCCAAATATAACTAAGAAAAAGGTGGGCTTCAGAACAGTGCTGGAATGACCCCCATCACCCTCTCTGAGGACTGATTCACCCATCAGAGGAGGGCCTTCTGGATGAGTGAGTATCTTATGTGAATGGGAAGTATGAAAGACAGGCCTCTTGGTACCTTTTGTCTTATATCCTATGCCTTATGTCTCACCAATAAATGTTACATGAATAGTGCTTAACCCAAAATTATTGGTGTATGGTCCTCTTGTCAGCAGTTTGGCTGCTCTCTCTCTCTCTCTCAATGACAACCTATTTGAATTAATTCCTAGTAATACTCATTGCAACAGGGGTTGCCAGATGAGACTATCCACAATTTCATAATGTTGGCACATCTGCATGTAATGACAAGCCAGAAAGTCACAGACTGTTTATTTGTTGGAAATGAATCACAATGCTATACACTTGCTCCCACTAGAAGAGGGGCTAATGGAGCAAACTACAGACTTTCCATTCATGGTTTATATTCTGTGATGCCCCAGTAATATGGCTCATCTTTCTCCTTCTGAGCCAGAGGAGTACACCTAGAACAAGCCATAGGTTATTCTTGTGGTTTGCTGGGAGACAGACAAGCCAGATTGTCAAGTTCAGAATAAACATACCCAGGAAAAATGTATGTGGTTTCTTCCACTGCTCCCACTTGCAGTGAGAGTGATCAGGCAAGATGCACTAACCGTTGTTCTAACAAAATTCTTATAAATTGTGGCTTGCTGTTCCAAGTGATGTCTAGATCAATATACGCAAGTCCAGACTGGCCAATGATTCTAGGAATCTTTGACATTTATGTGCCAGGAGAAATCTGGATGTAACTCTGAGATGCACCAGTTTGTCAAATCAGATGCGAAGGTGGCATGAGCAAGAATACCTTGAAGGATTAGGTGGATTAGGTGCATAAAGAAATAAAGTGGAATTAAATACTGTACTACTGTTTCCACAGAAAGAGGGGCAAGAGGATAGTTAATTCCTGCATAGGCATGTCTGTTCAAATTGCCTGGCATGTATCTACAGACATAACTGGTTTAGAATGTTTTTTTTTTTTGACTGTCAGTTCTTTACAATCCAAGAAGAATCCTCCCACACCAGTTTCCCACCAGGGTCCAACCAAATGTTTCTGCAAAGACCACAAATCAGACATGAAGGAGGAACCTGCTTTATTTAGTCATCCACTAGAACTGCTGGATAGTCCAGTGGTTAACGTTTCTGCCAGTTCTGGGGAGTTCAGTTCCTTGCTATGCCTCCTTGATAGGGTGTGGACTTGATGATCTATGGGGTCCCTTGCAGTTTTTAGGTTATTATTATCATTGGTATTATTAACTCAATATTGTTGATATTGACTGGCAGTGTTCAAACGGCATTCTTTTCCAGCCCTCTCAGAAGATGTCTCTGGAAGCATCTGATACATATGGCTGCAAATGTAGGGATAGCATTTCTCTATTACAGTTCTCTGGTGCATTGCCTACGAGCATTCATATGTCATCTAAGTATTTTAAAAATATATGATGATAATATTTCCTCCAAGAAACCTGAGGCAATCTGCATGATTCCTCTGCCTCATGCTAACTTCTTAACAATTCTAAAATATAATAATTTGCCCAAGGTCACCTAGAGCCAAACAGAAGTTTGAAATGAGAGCTCCCCAGTCCTGTCACATTATAAATGATGTTCTACACTGTCTGCCATTAGATACATGTTCCACATAATTTGCTGAATTGAGGCTGGCCTAGGACATGAGGGACACCAACAAATGGCAACCCCCTTAACTTGTCTAGTAGCCCAAGACGGGTAATGTATTTGGTACATAAAGCAGAAAATTCTGAAGAATCTCTCTTCAGGTCTAGAAATAAAAACAAAACCTTCTAATTAATTAATTAATAAGTGCTACCCTTTCATGATAGTTAAAACCTGCCACCAGAGACAATTGCCTCACTTAGCCTAATGGCAAGGCAGCCATGTGGAGATTATCATCTGTAACCTGGATTATGTTATCATATGTCTTCAAATCACCCCCAATTGTTGGCAATCCTATGAATGAGTGACCTCTGAAATGTCTTACCCCTAAAAGCCCCCGCTTAAGTCTTGCAAAGTCAAGGCTGTGACTTTCTTTATGGAATCAATCCATCTCATATTTGGCCTTCCTCTTTTCCTGCTGCCTTCAGCTTTTCCTAGCAAATGAACAACAGCAACAACAATGCTCTTTCCATTTACAAGCACTTCCCTCTCTTTACCAGACCGATCGATCCACGCTATGCTCTTTCCATTTACAAGCACTTCCCTCCCTTTACCAGACCGTTCAATTAAAGCAAAGCTTGTGATTCTACTGAAAGCAATGTTCCTGAAGAATTCCGATCGATCCACGCTTATCTATCTATCTATCTATCTATCTATCTGTGATTCTACTGAAAGCAATGTTCCTGAAGAATTCCGATCGATCCACGCTTATCTATCTATCTATCTATCTATCTATCTATCTATCCATCTATCTATCTATCTATCTATCTATCTATCTATCTATCTATCTATCTATCTATCTATCTATGAAACCACCACAAATATTTTCTAAAAGCGCAAATTTTCCACCTCGTTCAAAGTTCCAGCTTTCGCAAAAAGCAACATCCACCATTTTAAGAGGCGACGAACTTATGGCCCTGAACACCTCCGACGGGACTGTTTCCAAGCCCGGAGCCATTACCGTCGGAGGCGAGGCTCCTCGCCCAGGTTACCGCGGCTGCTTCCGACAGGGTGTGGCGGGCGCAACCTCAGCCAAAGAATAGAAAGCAAGACTCGCTCAGCCTTTTCTTCGCCTGGAGAATAGTTTTTTCCCCCCTTCCAATCTGCCCTCCTAATCGCAGAATTAATTCTGCCGAGTTAAAGGGCAATTCCAACTAGGAAACTTAGGTTCCCTTCGCAGACTGATCTTCCGTCCTCCTTCTTTCAAAGCTTTCTAAGGGATCTGAACTATATCCTGTCGACCCGGAGAGCCGCTTCTCGAGAGCAACAGATAGGTTTTATAGACTCACCAGAAGCAGCAGCAGAACCCCCGGTCCTCCGGCGCCCCGATGCCGAGCCATGGCACGCAAGCTTTTGGCTCCGGCCTCTCCTTCGCCCTGGTTCTGATCTCTGGGCCCAAAGCACGACCCCTGCCCGGCAGGCACCCTTCTCGAAGAAGAGTATGGAGTTTTGCCGTGGGCAGTTGAAGCCAAGCCCGTTCCCAGTGGTTACAAGCATAAAATGGGGCTGGCTGAGGACGGAGGGCGCCGGAGGGGGCGGAGTGTGGCGCGCTGGGAGTGGTCACCAGGTGGGTGCGGGCAAAACTCACCCAAACCCGCCCGCCGTCTTGAGTCACGGACCGGCTAAGCTAAAGGGCGTGGGTTGCTTTTGTTCAGAAACTGCCTTTGAAAGGGAGAGAAAGTCAGATCTGGTCAGGTTTCCCCCGTCTTTCTAGTAGTCTTCGGTGCAACTTGAGATCGCTTTACCGTGAGCCCAGTCAGATCTCATTGGATCTGCCTTATCTTTTCCCTGCTCCTCGCTGCCATTTAAAGCGACCGCAGCGGAACGACGCGCCCCTTTTCCTTGTGCTTTGTTTCTAAATCTTGATCTCACTCCCCGCTCCATCTTTCCCTTTGTCTTACGGCCTGATGGAGTTTTGATGAACTTCGGTGCCTCGTCGCTTCTGATTTGGTCCTAGGAGAGAGATATAGCCTTCCTATGGCTTTTCTTTCCCTCCCAACACACTCCTTTTGGTTTTAAATCCTTTCCTTGGTGCAGAATTGCAATTAAAAGAACCTGCCTGGGCAAACAGCTTCTTAATCCTGTCCCTGAAGCAAGACTAACTTTCTGTGACAGAGGGACTAGAATAATTTCTTTCTCAAAATCTTCCCAAGACTCAGAAGAGTGAACTTTTCCTTTCTTAATATGTTTTGCTTTGAGTGGGATCTCTTGAGTAAGGCTTGGGATTCTTCTCTTTGGTTACACATCCTATAGCACAGAAACCACATCTCTTTCTGTGCTATACCCCACTGTCTCCTGGTCCTGGCACATAGGAAATGTTGAGAGAGCCACTAGTTGACTGTCATGTTTGCCCCAGTAGCCAATCAGATGTCCCTGGAAAACCCACAAGGAGTCCTGGAATAGTGGACCAGCGTGGAGTTGGTCACATTCAAATACTGGTGTGAAATTATGGAGAATCCTCCTTGGCCTTTTCTTATCTGTAGCCTCAAGCATGTTCCTGGGAATTAATTTGAACTAGGCGTCATTGACGTCAATGACACCTAGTTCAAATTAATTCCTAGGAACTTGCTTGAGGCTCTGGAACATGTTTCTTGCTTCAGGCTCAGCCCCTGAACAGGTGAAGTTATAAGAGAACTGTGCCTCATAAGGAAAGAGGGATTCTAATTCCCACTAACCTGTTTCCAGCTCTAATACAATCAACAAGATGCAAGAGTGACGGTCGGCAAGTTAGAGAAGGCTCTGCCTCTGGTAGATGTTCTGATATCAGGAGATGCTTGGGTGAAGTACTGGGATGCACTTGCTTGTCAAATCTGACTCTAAGGTGGCATCATCAGGGAGAAGAACCAGGGTGATGTCCATCAGCTGTCGATCTGGCAAAACAGATGAGAAGAGAGGATTTCCCCCCCTCCAAAAAAGCCATGCTACTTCTATTTTGCTTTCCTCTTCCAGTTGAAGCTGGTTTCATCTCCTCATTACAAACAGAAAAGGGGTTCTCTCAGAGAGTCTGCAATTATGCTGGAAGCCCATGGGAAAGACTAGCTTCTTTTGAGGAGCGTTCCTGCTCTGAGACCAGAGTTTAGCACCTGAAGCCATAGAAGACTGGGGAGAGAAGACGCCAAAGCAAAAAGGTTGTGCTGTGGTTTGGCATCTTGGTGCAGGAGGTGGACCTGTGGTTTTGCTCTTGATGAGTTTTTGAGTCTTTTTTTTAAACAAATGGAAAGAAAACTGTGTTGTTTGCAGATGTTTTATTTTGAAATGACAGTGGTATTCTAGAAATGATAAGGAAGAGAGATTTAGCAACAGTCCATGGGAGGTGGAGGTTAGAATGTTTAATTTTACTCTCAGCTCTGGGTGATTTTGAATGAACTGCAGGATAGTTCAGTTTAGGTGGAGCCAGAGGCTGGGGGGGTTGAGTCCCCCCTGGGCCTCCTTGACAGGGGCTGGATTTAATGATCCATAGGGTCCCTTCTAGCTCTGCCGTTCTAAGATTTTAAGATGATTATTACAACTGCCCACCCACTTCTTTTCCAGGCTCATAGCCTTGATATAAAAATAAAATGAAACTGAAGAATTATGTGTATGACTTTTCATTCCTTGGAGGAAAGGTAGAGCTATAATATAATAATGAGTTTTCAAAAAGTTTAGATGACAGCTATGTTGAATCTTCATATTCAGAAGCAGTATACTGAGAAGATCAACAGTGTGGGAAATGGGCTATAGGCCATTGGCAGAGCAGTAAATGCCAGTTCAAATGTCCAGTTCCTTCGATCTCTAACTAAGTACAGACTCCTGTCAGTAGCAAACATATTAGCAAAAGGGATCAATGAAATTATTTAATCTAGGGCACCGTCCTGCACTGTCCAGGTCCTTGCTTGTGAGCTTCACAGAAGAACTTAGCTGAGTGATGTGGCAAACAAGATAATGATTCTTGTAATTAGGGGCCATTATGGGCTTGGTCCCATTCAGTTAGTGATGTGAAATAAGGGATGATTTCATGTGGCAACTGTCCTCTCCAGGCATATTGAGATTTAAAACAGGGACTTTTGAGTCTTGAGAGAAGACTATAAATTCTCAGGGAACGTTACCTGGCAGAACAGTTCTCTGGAAGATACCGGAGTGAATTGACCCTGAAGCAAGTGAACTCTTATAAGGAAGTGGAAATATGTCAGAACAGACATATTAACAGCATGCAGTTACTGGTCTTAACTAGCACATCTTCTGAAAAGGAGAGTCTTCAGCTGTATGTGGGTATCCTGTCTATATGATTGCTAGGACACCTGATTGTGCAGAGTTCCCAGGCCTTGGCCTTTTCTTATCTGTAGCCTCAAGCATGTTCCTGGGAATTAATTTGAACTAGGCGTCATTGACGTCAATGACACCTAGTTCAAATTAATTCCTAGGAACTTGCTTGAGGCTCTGGAACATGTTTCTTGCTTCAGGCTCAGCCCCTGAACAGGTGAAGTTATAAGAGAACTGTGCCTCATAAGGAAAGAGGGATTCTAATTCCCACTAACCTGTTTCCAGCTCTAATACAATCAACAAGATGCAAGAGTGACGGTCGGCAAGTTAGAGAAGGCTCTGCCTCTGGTAGATGTTCTGATATCAGGAGATGCTTGGGTGAAGTACTGGGATGCACTTGCTTGTCAAATCTGACTCTAAGGTGGCATCATCAGGGAGAAGAACCAGGGTGATGTCCATCAGCTGTCGATCTGGCAAAACAGATGAGAAGAGAGGATTTCCCCCCCTCCAAAAAAGCCATGCTACTTCTATTTTGCTTTCCTCTTCCAGTTGAAGCTGGTTTCATCTCCTCATTACAAACAGAAAAGGGGTTCTCTCAGAGAGTCTGCAATTATGCTGGAAGCCCATGGGAAAGACTAGCTTCTTTTGAGGAGCGTTCCTGCTCTGAGACCAGAGTTTAGCACCTGAAGCCATAGAAGACTGGGGAGAGAAGACGCCAAAGCAAAAAGGTTGTGCTGTGGTTTGGCATCTTGGTGCAGGAGGTGGACCTGTGGTTTTGCTCTTGATGAGTTTTTGAGTCTTTTTTTTAAACAAATGGAAAGAAAACTGTGTTGTTTGCAGATGTTTTATTTTGAAATGACAGTGGTATTCTAGAAATGATAAGGAAGAGAGATTTAGCAACAGTCCATGGGAGGTGGAGGTTAGAATGTTTCCTTTTACTCTCTTCCTTTTCCTTTGATTTCTACCCCACCCTCCTAGACAGCACAACTGAATGGAGAGTGTGAACAACTAAATCTTATGTAGAACCCAAAGAGTCTTGTTTCAAAATGTTGGTGGAATGAGCATTCTCCAGGTCAGCTGGCACGGCCCCACTTGTCACAGATTTTCCTTATGGATAGTTACTGAGGTAAAGAAATTTCCAGCTCTCTTTTTTTAAACTGAAATTTTCCATCTGCATGTTAAGTATTTGTGTGGAGAAAATTGTGTGGCTATGTTGGTTGGGGATTTCTGAGAACTGTAGCTTGAAAAAGCCATTTTTTGAAGTCCTTAGTCTATGTATCAAAGAAATATGAGGTAGGAATGGCAAGGAATGAGGTCTTGGGTTCATCGTGGATAGCCATAGAAACAACAACTCACCATGCAATTCTGTATTCATTAACCAACGAACCTGACAAAGATTAACATAGATTAAAATCTGTAGGATGTTATTGTTTGTAAAAGAGGGAAACCCTGCGCCAGATATGAAAGAACCTGAAAAGACAACATCTATGGCAGAGGGAGGTAGAACTATGCATGATGTGAAGAAAGTGGGTAGATTCTCACATAACCCTCAAAACCACCATCTGCTATTGAAAATCAAAGAAGTAATTCTTCACATAACATGTGTTTAATTTATTATGACCACCAGTGAATGTGGTGATCACCACTGCTTTAGGCAGCTTTAGAAGTGGATTAAGTTCTACAAAGGGATGACCTACGGAAGGCTATTGCCCATGAGAACCAAGCATTTCTGAGGTTGTTGTGCCTCCGAATGCCCGGTACTGGGGAGCAACAGGAGAGCAGAGGTGCCATCTCTGTGTTCTGTTAGTGGATTTCCTGGTATCTGATTGGCTACTGTATGAAACAGGAGGCTGGACTAGAATGGTCCTGGGTCTGGTTCAATTGGACTTTTCTTGGGTTCTTATGGACTAGTGGTAAGCAAATTAAGTTACAGCTACAGTATTTAAATAGACTTTTGCTGGGAAATTTATGTTGCTGGGTTTTTTTTTTGCTAGTGATGACAAAGAACAATGTGATTTTTTCCCTTCAGACCATGCTGTTGCCCAGCTTCTAGTGGAAATAGCAGGCCCTCAGTTCCATATTTCATCAATTTTATGGAAGATCTCTTTCTTAGAATCCCTCCTTCTTCAAAACAGTGGCCTTTCCCAAGGAAATTAAATCCTCTTTTCTTATCTACTTTGTTTAGACTAACATTCTTTAGCCTGCCTGCTGGTGAATGATCTCCTTTGGTCTCCGATTTGACAAATTGCTGTACCCAAACTTCTGGTATCTGTAAAATCTTGAATGGGAGTTCTTGGTCCACATACTGCTGAAGCCTTTCCTTGTAGGATTTTGAGCATAACCTTGCTAGCGTGTGAAATGAGTGCAATTGTATGGTAGTAGGAGCATTCTTTGACACTGCCCTTCTTTGGGATTGGGATGTAGACTGATCTTTTCCAATCCTCTGGCCACTGCTGAGTTTTCCAAACTTGCTGGCATATTGAGTA